AGTTAAATTTAATTTCTTAATCTGTGTGAAGTAAAACTGGGAACTTTAATAGGGACCGGTGGGAGTGTAAAGAAAAAGAAAGATGCATGCAGATTATACTCTCTTCGTCCCTTATAATTTTGTCAACTTTTTCTTTCTGGCAATCCCAAAAACTTTGTCACTTTCCATTTTAATCAATCAATTTGAGGCTCGTGTTATTTCTCTCTCCTCTGCACTCATATTTATCACACATTTTTTACTTTATTATTCTACGTGCCGGTCAAACTTGACAAACTTTTAAGACACAGATGGAATAATTAATACTCCCTCCGATCCCAAAAATACTTCCCACTTTCCTTTTTGGGTTGTTCCCAAAAATACTTCCCACTTTCCCATTTTGGACAATTTGTGTGGCTCACATTCATTTTACCTTTTTCTTACACAACCACAACCATACATTTCCACTTTATTCCACTTTCTTAATAAGCGTGCCAAGTCAAACCGGGAAGAATTTTTAGGAACGGAGGGAGTATGTTAGAGACTCTACTAATTCGGAAATAGAAGATAGATATTTTGGCAAAGTATATTCTAGAAGAAAGTAGAGTTAGTTATTAGTTAAAGGCATTGTTAGCTAATAACTGTCTACGGTTATACTCCGTATTAGTTACTTGTTTTCTATAAATAGTAGCTAGCTGGAATGGGTGAGTAGGCTGTTTTAGACTTGTCTTGAGACTTGGGAAGACTGAGACTAAGGATGTTTTTACTTAGACTGTAATTCGTCCCAGACCAGACCAGACCAGACCAGACCAGACCAGACTTGGATAGTTATAAAAATACAAAGAACCCAGACCAGACCAGACCAGACCAGACCAAACCAAACCAGACCAGCAAATTACAGTCCAAGTAAAAACACTTAATAATCTCTTTCTTTGGGAGCTTCGGCTTTTGGGGGCTTCGGCCAGTATATTGTTTTACCGTTAATAAAGATTCTGGAGTTCTTGATACTATTTCCTTACTTTCACTTTGATATTTGCTGGGAATTCTGGAGGATTCTATCATTGGTATCAGAGAAAATGATCTTGTTACCTGTAGTCCTGTACAGGAACGATGGAAGATTGGGGGCTGTTTTGGAAAAAAATGCGCGAAGATACCAGGCGTTTGTGCGAAAGGATACGCAAAATAAGCCCGCAAAGAAACAATCGGCACTCGCAGAAAGAGTCGCGAACTAATTCGCACTCGCAGGAGTTGCAGAAAGAGTCGCGAATTGTTTCGCACTCGCTAAAGGATCTGCGCGAAAAATTGGGGAAACTCGCGGAAATGATGGAGCGCGGAAATATGGAGAAGGAGAAGAGCTTAAAATCGGAGAGAGAAAAACGCCCAAAACTGGAGAAGGAGAAACGCTCAAATCTGGAGATGGAGAAGAGTTCTAAACCGGAGAAAGAGAAACGCTCAAGCCTGGAGAAAGAGAAGAGTTATAAACCTGAGAAAGAGAAACGCTACAGTCGGGATAAGGAGAAGCGTGAGAAGAGCAAACAACATCACCGACGAGGAAGATCGGGGAAGGTACGTCGCTGCGTGAATTCAAAAAGCAAAGCTCCATATCAGTCACAAGAATTCCCTAGTTCGCAGTCGTGAACTGTTTCTCTCAGTTCGTCCTTGCTAACCGAGCATCTTCTATCGTTATCGCAAGTAGATTCTTGCTTTGCGCCAGACTGGTCTCTTGATTCGCAGATGACATTGCAAGCCATAAATCCTAGTGTGCGAGTGTCAACCTGCCCACATGAATCATCTATTTCAGAATCTATAACCATAGTCACATCAGGAAAAGGATTAACAGGGACTATAATTTCGGAAATTCTTAATAAATTGAAGCAAGTGGCACCAACAGTTTCAGAAAATAGCGAAGCTGACATTCTGCAGGTATGTGATAGTGATGTTTGTGTGGTCAAATCTGCATTGACTTTTGGGTTTGTACAGGAGAGGAACTGGCTTAATGTTTTAAAATCTGTAATGATGGACTGTGATATATTACACATTGCTTTGGAAGGGTTTAAGTCATTGAACAAGTTTGATAGATTCGGATGTGAGGGTGTTACTTCGATAATAGATAATCAAAATGGGTGGGAAAGAGAATTTTCTGGGAATATTACAGATAATGAGGGATATGTTTCTGGTATTGGAATTGTCATGTATCTGATTTTTGTTAAAGATCTCAATCCTGGTCGTTTCCCTGAGGCCATTATAGGAGGTATAGGCTTAGACTATCAGTTTGATGATTCTGTTGTGGCAAATTCTTATTCTGTGGCTAGAAGCCCATCTTCTATGTCTATTGTACTCGTGAATGGCATTTACCGGGACTTTGTCGGCTCTTATGTTGACTCTTCCATCTTCCAGCATCAACAACAGAAATTGAATGTTCCTGGTTCTTTCAATATGTTGACTATTGGAAGAGAGATTCTTTTTTATGTTCACTCAACCATTCGGGTATGGGAATCTGGCGCTGAAAACACGAGTTGCTACTCGTTGGTCATCCAACCGGAACCATTTGTGTGGACAATACTTTCTAAGGATGACTTGGTGGATGATTTTACCTATGATGTCTTGAAACGGAATCCAAGGACTCTGTATTATGGTTGGAGTTCATGGTCCTATTGTCAGAAAGGAGAGGTTATTTCTTATTACCCAGGTGGTTGGAGGAGTAAGAATACAGACCATGATGATAGATATTGCTATGTGATGGTGGGCAATGATCAAGGTATGTCAAGAGTTTCAATTCTGGAAAAAATGTCACTCATGACATGTTACAGGGTATACATATCAGAAGCTAAAATCGAGTGAAGCAACTGAAAACCGAGGACTTGCATTATATTCCGAAGCAAGAGCTACTAGCAGATGGAATATTGAGCAGAAAGTGATGAATAAAGATCAGTACCAGCAGGAACAGAACAACCTGAATAGTATGGATGCTTTGAAGGGAGAGGATCTAGTGTTGTTTTTACTAGAAGTGAGGATGAAGATTCAAGAATGGAAACTCCTTGACCAACCTACAGTCATGTATTGGGAAGGAAGAGGAGCAAGGAAGAAGAAGAAGAAGCAGAAGATTGTGGCTGTTTCCTATCACCCACCTTGAGGGCAAGGTGGATGTTTGGGGGGGGGGAGTAATGTTAGAGACTCTACTAATTCGGAAATAGAAGATAGATATTTTGGCAAAGTATATTCTAGAAGAAAGTAGAGTTAGTTATTAGTTAAAGACATTGTTAGCTAATAACTGTCTTCGGTTGTATTAGTTACTTGCTTTCTATAAATAGTAGCTAGCTGGAATGGGTGAGTAGGCTGTTTTAGACTTGTCTTAGGACTTGGGAGGATCGAGACTAATAATCTCTTTCTTTGGGTGCTTCGGCTTTTGGGAGCTTCGACCAGTATATTGTTTTACCGTTAATAAAGATTATGGAGTTCCTGATACTATTTCCTTACTTTCTCTTTGATATTTGCTGGGAATTCCGGAGGATTCTATCATAATATATCCATAATTATGAGAATAATACAGTGCCTATCACGGTGTTCATAAGGGAGGGGAGATTAAATTTGCAAGTGGTGGATATAATATTTTATATAAAACGGAAAAGTTAAGAACGAAAGAAGCTTCAGTTCACGTAAAGGCGGTGCCAATTATTCATTCATTCAACTTGAAAGGAAGAGACAATAAGGTGGCCTAGTAACATTGGCATGTGCAAATCGACCATCCAAACGAAACTGGGCGAAAGAAAAAACATACCATGAGATCGATCACTTTTGGAAGTAATGGAGACCAAAAAATTGATAATTTGATAGATGTTTATGTACCTTTTTGGCGGAGAATGTTTGTCTATTTACCCCAGGCTAATTGTGCTATATTATTGTAGCACATACATGATTTTATAATGTTCTGTTCTTTTTTCACTCGGATTTTTTGCTCGGATAATTGAAATTCATATCAATTAGGTACTCTCTGGTTGGATGTGCCTCTTATTATAATGTCATAACTCTTTGACTTATATTACCTCCGTTCTTAAATAAATGCAACATTTTAACTTTTACACTATTCACATGTTTTACTTTGACTACGTTTTATTTATTAATGTAACAATTTTTTTTTATGAAAAAAATATTGTTAAACTTGTCTCATTGTAAATTTTCATAATCTAATTTTTTTTTAATTTTTTTACTAATACAAAATCATTTATATTAATGGTCAAAATTGTATCTCGGCAAATGTGAAATATTGACCGTTTTCATTTATTTAAGAACGGAAGAAGTATTTTGAGCGGTCTCTTAATCACTCTATTTGTCATACATAGAGTCATTAAATTTGTGGGTGACAAAAATGATTAAGTGAAACCAAATTATCAAAGTGTATGTACAAAGATGCTACATTAAGACATAAGTGAAGATATTTCCAATTTGAATTTTATCCCGTTGTTAAATATAATGTGTGTATGACAAGCGTGTTAAATACAATTCTACTTTTGATAATTGTATTCTGTATATAAATCAAACTCCTTATTTCACCTACATAATATGAACAATTCAAGATCAGAATATGAAAGCTCCAAGATGATTTCATTCTATTAAATCAATTGCTCAATGCAGACACATATTACTAGCCTACTAGGTATTCTATATCAAAACTTGAGATTACATCCCGAGGGAAATTTGTTTGTCAACATCATTTGCGCACATTTTTGTACAAGTCACTTAATTGTCTATGTATGCATACAATTTGCCTAAAAACACAGAGCTCGTTTGATGACCATGTTTTTCGACTTATCAGGTTTAGCAATCACGTTTTTCACCAAACACGTAATCAATCACTCAACCATCAACACATTGACATGCTCATTATATTTTCTCTATTGACATATGACAAGTTTGACATCATAATAACATATGCAAAAATGATTTTGGCATTCTTTGCGTTTAGTGGGTATATAGAAATGTTAAGGCATCATTTTTGTTTCATCATACCTTAAAATGTCGGATGGTAGAAGGAAATTGATCTATCTTATGCAAGAAGTTAGCAGTGCTATTGTATTTCAATAAATATAATAATTTGGGAAAATTACACGATTCATTATAATTTAGCCTTTTCCCAGCTTCCAAAACACACGGTATTGGACAGTAATAAAGACATAATTAATGAATTTGCAACAGTAAAACATCCGAAACGACAAGGTCCATGATTTGACGAGTTTCATAGGAATATAAAGCATTCCATTGAAACAAGAGGGTTTTCAAGCGATTCACCGGTTTCCCCTGAAACGCCGTCGTTAGGCTTCTGCAATTTTTTATCTTCGCGATGGTTCTCTGCACTTTTCGCCGGCGATTGGCCACCTTCGCTCACGGTGGGACTTTTGATGCTTACATTACGGCGGGGATCAGCCTCCCGGCGAGCCGCGGGAGATCTTGACCGGCGCACGTTGCCGGAGTCACGTTGCGCAGCCTTTTCAGGGCCCGCGTTACGCTTCCGCGACGGCGTTGATGTTCTGCCCTGACCTGATTTTGAAGGCGCCAGAGCATTCCTCTTCTCCGGTGACGGCGCCGATCTTTTAGACGGGGATTTGAAGCTGCCTCTCTGCCTTCCTCCGGGCAGATCTCCCGGAGTTCGACGCTTCCGTCGCGGAACAGGGGACCTCTGGTTGACTTCGCCGTCGTCGTCCCTCTTCTCCGTCGCCGTCGTGGAAATGCTCTCAGTCAAGCTACACATTTCAGACGGCTCAGACGCCGCAATCTCTTCGTCCGCTTTAAGCGGGCCACGCCGGTCAACTTCAACCTTGACTTGGTGAAAGTCATCAACTTGCTTTAGACCGCCAATGATATTCTTCTTCTCATCTTGTAAAGGAAGGGGCTTTGAGATGTGGGTCTCGGACAGGACAACTTCTTTGACGGTTTCCTCGTCAACAGGCGGCGGAGATCTGTCGATCTTGGTAGGATCCGGCGGCGGGGTGTGAGCTGAAGCAGGGTCTCTGGTGGTGCTTAAACAACACCCCATCTCGTAGCAGCAAGGTAGCACTGGTTTATGCTACCAATTAGGCTAGAAGATTAGATTGGGTGTAGAGATGGAAAGGCATTATGAATTCAAATTTATGTTGAAAGAAGTAGGAAAGGTGAGGCCGGAGAGGTTTATGGTGGAAAGATTTACAGAAAGAAAGAGTTAATGGAGATTGGGGTAGTTGAGGGGAAGGGAAGGGGTGAAACGTAGGAGTACAGTAGAGGCAGGTATTTGATGTGAAACCAGCAGTGCGTTGCTCCAAAAAAGGCACACATTATCATGCTGATGACTTATTTAATTGAGTTTTGCTGGAGGTACCCCTTTGGTATTCAATTTTATTTTGTTTCTAGTGGTTGACACATTAAATTAAGTGTCTTTGTGAATCACAAATATAGGGAGGGCTACAAAATTGGGTACAAATTGAGGTAGCAATACCATTTGTGTATTTAATTAGACCCCATTTACTCACTCATATATTCGTACTACATATACATTAATTATTATATTTGTATATAATTTATAAATTTTATACTTTTATGAAAATATTTTGATTAGGGGACATTTTGATATAACTTTCATATTCAAAATATTTTCGTATTAAAAATAATCATTAATCAAAGTTGATTGTCATTGATCAAGAAAAGTCAATTTGGTGAACTTTTTCGGTTCAGAGGGAATATATTTTCTATTTGTGTGTCTTCGTTAAGGTATATGATTAACAAGTATTCGAATGCATAGACTTTCAAAACAATTGATTCATTACGTTACACGGTTACACTCTTCTCTTTTCCTTTAATTAGGTTTCATTTTTCCCACTAGATTTGGTTACTTGGTAAAACTTTTGATTATGTAATGATACATATAAACACTAATGATAAAAATAGGTATCAAGTAGAGACAGACTTGATTAAAGAAGTTTATCGTGATATTGTACTATTTTCTCCATTTAAGGTTATTTTTCTCACATGATTTTTGTTACTTGGAGAAGTTTTGATTTGGAAATATGATGGAATAAAGAAAAATGATTCACTAAACTATTTGCGCTTTTTTGCTATGAAACATCGATCAGTCTATGCAATTTTTGACGAGTTTTTTTATCATGAGTCACTCGGAAACAGTCTTTTTGTGCTTTAGTATAGAGGTAAGGTTGTATACATCCGACCTCCTTTACCCCACCGTAGACGAGAGACTTTGCGGCACTGTAGTAATGTTGTTGTTGTAGAGAAGTTTTGAAGGAAATATGTATCATGTGCTATACTTTAAATAGAACGTGTATTAGGAATCATGTTACGTAAACAATGTATTTTAGGCCCATATTGGACTATCTTGTGTACCCTATTTGTGCTCTATATATTTATAGATTGCTCAATAATTAAGTTATGGGAGATTTCCCAATTAGGAGTAAATAAAGTTTGGAATTCCAAAATTGGATTACTATGTTTTTATTCCAAAAATATGACTAAAATGACAGTATTTATTGTCATCTTGTATGCGTCACTGCAAAATAGTTGCAGTACAGTGCATTTAACATGAGAATATTTATTATAATTAATGACAGTATTTTTCAATCATGACAGTATTTTTCATACATGCCAGTAACAACTCCTATTTCGAGGGAAAAACATAGTAGTCCTTTTTTGGAATTTCAAACCTCATTTAGTCATATTTAGGGCAATTTCTTTTAGATTATACAACATATTAGTGGTACTTATATATAATTAATACAATGGATATAGTAATCACAAATATATAGTACTTAAGGTGTATTGGGGAGAAGGAAGGTGAAAATGAAGTGTGAATGATTTCAAAGTTAGGAATTTGGATGGATAAAAGCATGATATACCATGAACTCATACTTTAAGAATAAAAGTTAAGTTGGTTTGTTTTTAGATAGTCTATACTACAATTTTATGTAAAATTATTGCTTATTAAACTTAGCGAGCAAAACTTCAATGGGGTGATGGAATTATAATTTAATTTTCTTTGTATATGCCGAAGAGATTAAGCCTCAGTCCTCAGAAATATCTTACAGTACAAAACAACCTTATGTTTTGGATGTATCACACACAACCATATATCCATCTTAATTTTTATTTTACAATACCTTATAGATATCGAAATCCTCTTGTTTCATTGTTTTTCTTCTTACTGTGGAGAAACTAGTTGAAATTTTGAATTGCCACATTAATATGCTATGACAACCAAGCTGAAGTTCCTTAAATGGCTCCTATATTTGTTTTACATGATTGAGGGTATTGTTGGAACTTCAAAACCTTTCTATTCTATAAAAAATGTTTTTCTACTGAATTTCTACCTAGATAGATAAATCTGGATCTAATCACAGACTTCATTTATACAGACTCCAAAGAACGGATCCAACAAGACTGACATCACATACTCCTTCAAATTGTGTATTCCATCACACGAACTTGTTACATCCCATATCATTCTCTCATCAATCGTTGAGCTACTATGTGAAGGAGCAAGACATCTTTCATTTCCCTTAGGTGAGAATTGAACTCAAAACCTCTCACTAAAGAGAAGCGGAGGGTGTGTAATAAAACCTCTCACTTGGGTTGGACTCGAGCCGGGATGGGTCGGGCCTAGGCCTAGGCGGGCCGGCGGTTCAGGAATGGTGGATCCGGGATCGGTCCGGGTAGCCACCGGGTCCGGTCCGGGTCCGGGCCGGGCCTCCGATTTGGGATTTTTTTTTGCTTTCCTAACCCCCCCCCCCCCTCACCCCCACCCTCCCAACCCCCCCCCCCCCCCCAAACCCCTCCTACCCATCAACCCCAACCCGGGTGGAACCTCACAAAACGAAAAAAAACAATTTGGCCCGGACCCGACCGGGCCGGTTCGCCAAATGTGAGACCCGAGCCCGGACCCGCACTACCCACCGGGCCTAGGCCCGATCCGGACCCGGACCCGAGAACCGGGCTGGTCCTGGTCCCGCACAGTAGCGGGTCGGGGCGGTCCACGGGCCGGGTGGCCTGGTCCGAGTCCAACCCTACCTCTCACTGAAGGAGCAAGACATCTTTCACCCAAGCCACATAAATCTTCCCTCCTTTTTATCTTTAAACGTAATTTTTTAAATTTTATTTTGATTTTTTTGAATGTTATAATATCTCAAAAATTTATTTGAGAGTCTTTTAGAACGTTTTTAAATCACAGAATCATACTCTTTAATTAGAATCATACTCTTTAATTGTTTTTCAGTTTTTACAAATTTTTAGTATTTTATTCATCTTAATTTTCACATTTTTATTTTAGAAGACGAACATTTATTATTTTTGGACATTACCTTAAACTGTTCAAATTTTTATATATTTCTGAAAATTTATAGGTTTTTTTTTGTTTTTTGCTAAAATTTATACGGAGTATTTGTTTTCATTTTTAATTGTATATATACAATTTATAAATTTTTACTTTTATATTTTTAGTTTTAAATTTTCTAAAGAATAATTTACATTTTTTTAATTTTGAGAAATGTTTCCATTTCTTATATTGTAATATTTATATTTCTATATTTTTCCTTGTTTGTTGTAGTTTCATTAAAATCTCGGTTTATATGGGGTATACGAACTCTTTTTAAATTTTAAAACTACTTTAAAGTGTGTTTCATTATTATTTTCTATTTCTGTATTTATAAGTTTTCAATAATTATTTTAACATTTTTTTGACTATATTTCTTTAAATTTAAATATTTTTTATATTATTTAGACTCAGTTAGAAGTTTTAGAGTTTGTATTTGTAATTATGCCTTCTTGTTTTTTCTCAACTTGGATACTTTTTTATAATTTTTATATTTTATGCTTATTACTCTTATTACTATTTTTTATTTAATATTTTTGCATTTTCACAAATTTTTACATTGTACTATTCAAAAACATAAATTGAATAAATATTGAGCTTGCTCGTAGTACTCCGTATTAGTTTATCAATAGTGGGCGACTGGGCGTAGAGCACACAGAGAAGTAGAGATGGATCCTTACGCACGATTCTTTGAATTATATACTCCAGTGAGTGGATCTTGCATTGACGGTGTATTTGTGAAAGAAACATGTTATGAGTCTATTTTTGAAAGAAACTTTAAAAGGTGAAAAAAGTGATACTCCCTCCGTCCCAGTCATTTCTTCTAGTTTTCCTTTTTGGGCCGTCCCAATTAATTCTTCCAACTTTCCTAAAAAGGAATTCAACTCATACCAAAAACCCTATTTTACCCTCCCCAATAAAAAAACCCTTTCCCACTCCCCTTCCCTTTTACCCGTTCGCATCCCTCTCTCTCTCTCTTTTACTCCCACCCGCATCCCTCTCTCCCATTTACTCCCACCGCCTCCTCTTTCTCTGTCACTGCATCCGTCTCTCTCAATTACTCCAACCGTCTCTCCCATTTACTTCCTCCATCTCCCCCTCTGTAAATCTATCTACCCATCCGCCTCCCCCTCTCTCACATTTTTATGGATCTAAACCCTAATACTTTGAGTATGGAGAATATTGAACACTTCATCGTCCCTGACAGTGAAGATGTTGTTCTTCCAGAGGAAGCGGTGGCGTTGGACACAGATGACCCTGTATTGGTACTCCATCCGAGGTGCATGGCTCAGAACTCCTCGGCAGAGGATGCCCTCCTCATCATCCCGGACAGTGAAGAAGAGCTTCCCGAGGATGTAAGCGAGAAGCCTACAGAGGTCGTGGGGGAGACGGTGGACCTAAATCGGCTTAAAAGATACAGAGACATTGACATGCATCCTATTCGGAGAAGTCCCCGACTGGAGGAATTCTTAAAAATAATTTTGCCAAAATGGGAAACAAGGATGTGGGAGGTGGACACAGATTAGGGGAGTTTCTTCTATACCTTATCTTCATTTATGGTTTAATTAGTACTCTATGTCCATTGTGTGTAATTTGGGGGAAGCAATGATGAAAAATTGTTTTTTTATGGTTATTGTGATGCATGTGGGTTGTACATGGTGGTTTGGTATTACAAATGGTAGTTAGGCATACTGTGATGAAAGTATACCTTGTGTGTACTGGTCCTTTATGCATATTGTCATTAAACTGTCCCTTTGCACATTGTGATGAAACTAGACCTTGTGTGATGGTTCTTTATGCATACTGTGATGAAAGTAGACCTTGTGTGTACTGGTTCTTTATGCATACTGTGAAAGTAGACCTTGTGTGTACTGGTTCTTTATGCATACTGTGATGAAAGTAGACCTTGTGTGTACTGGTTCTTTATGCATACTGTGATGAAAGTAGACCTTGTGTGTACTGATTCTTTATGCATACTGTGATGAAAGTAGACCTTGTGTGTACTGGTTCTTTACTGCTATGATTGGTTCATTCTGAGTGGTATGCTATGATGAAAGCATTAGGTTGTGATATGGTACTCTATGCTTGCTATGATGACCATATGATAGTGTTTGGGTGGTTAATGCATACTGTGATGACCATGACCCTCATATGTGGTAATTTATGCATACTATGATGAGCATATGAAAGTATTTTGGTAGTTTAAGCATACTGTGATGACCATGATCCTGTGATGTGGTACTTTATGCATACTATGATGACCATGATCAGTACTTGTGTGTGATGTGTATGCTGATGTTGTAGTTATTCATAAGGTTTGAGTGTGTTGTTCTTGTCCCAAAATGATGAAATCATTATGACCATTGCTAGATCACTATGCTTCTACTATTACAAAATGTCTGACTATGCTTGTACTTCTACAAAAGGTCTGAGTATGCAGCATGTATTACAAAATGTCTGAGCATGTTAGTACTAATTCTAAATGCCTGCTTGTCCTGCAAAATTAAGGCCTATACAAAAAAAAATTAAGGCCTATTATGTTTGAGCATGTACTTCATCACTGAAGATGATGATCATCATCATCTTCTTCAATTATGAAGTTCCCCTGACTTTCAGTATCCCCTGTTTGTTGCCATAGAATCTGTTCTGTTGCTTCCAATAATTGAACATCTACCTCAATTGTTTTTTGAAGTATCCCTCCTGACTGCATCCTATCCTTTGCATTGTGTGGTAGCTTGTAATTGTTGCCTCCCTGCACTTTCAGAACTTCAATCATAACATACTGATAGCTTAGCCAAACTTTGTTTAGAGTCATAGGTGATAGTTGTTTGAAAACATCATCCACTGCATGTAACAGTTCATCCACTGTCTTGGGTGCATTCTGGTCTTTCAAAGATTGTATTGCCCTAAAAAACCCTAGGTCTAGGATGTTAAGGTCCGGAGAGTTAGGGGGCTGGTTAGTAAGGGTGATTGTAAACCCATCAGCCATGGAAGCACTCATATACTATGCATCATCATGTGAAATGTGTGGCCTTGCATTGTCTTGTTGTATTATGATTTCTTTGCTTAACTGTGGAGGCCATTTTTCCTTGATAGCTGGGAGGACTGTGTTGATTAACATGTCCTTGAACACTTTCTTTGTTATGCTAAGAATAGGCTTGGTTTCCATAACACCTGCATTTCTGTTTTTGCTTCTTCTTTTTCCTGCAACTTGTTCAACAAATGGAAACATGCCTATTTTTTCATCCCAAATGACCTCACCACTTTCTGAAAAAAGGGGCCTACCCACTGCACCTAGGGACATGACCTTAGTTATGAACCTCTTTGATTTGCATACTCTGTATGGATCAGCCTCTTCCAACCCCATGTATAATCTTTGAGATGTTTTTGTCATGGAAAAACATTTTTCATCAATGTGAATCACATTCTGAAATGTTCGAAAGGTAGGCTTCTGTGGCACTGACTTCTCTACCTGACTAAGACAGAACTTCAATCTTTGCAATTTATTTGCATCACTTAGAAATGGCTTTATTGCATTTATATGCCTTCTGATGTTACCACTTTGAACCAATCTGTGGACACTTGACTTTGATATTGAGGTGGCAGCTGCCAAGGACCTTATGGTAGTCCTTTTATGCAGTGGGATCTGTGATACTTGATATAGATCAAATTCTATCATTTTTCTGCCATGGTACTTCCTACACACATTTACTGCATCACCTTGTACAACTTGTTTTTTAATTGTGTCCCAAATGCCAGAAATAGTTCTTTTGGACACTTCATAATCTTCAGCAAGTATGACAAAAATACATTTCTGAGCTTTTAAGTACCCCAAATAATCCCTCCGACTGGACATTAAGAGTACATGTGTTATGCGCTCTTTTTCACTGTTCGAAAGCCTTTTTTTTTCACTGCAGCACCATGACCATCCGTTGTTACTATTTACAGGTCTAGGGGTCCTGGTGTGGAAGAAGCTGGAGAAAATGAAGAAGCTGCAGTTGTGGAAGATATTGCAGCCATGGAAGCTGCCTTTTTTGTTTTCTGTGTGCGTGTGTGTGTTAGTGTGTAGTGTTGTAAGTGTGCGTGTGTGTAAGGAGGGAGTGGTATATGTAAGGAACTAATCTCCCTCCTTTTTTTGGATTGCCGCCTATGTATGAAACATTTAGTCAAATGTGAATAGTCTTTACTATTCACATGTCAATCAATCTACTTTTAATCACTTTCCCACTTTATTAAAGTTTTTACCTCAAATTTTACCCATTCATTTACCCCATTCGGCCAAGGGTATAAGGGGAAAGTCAACCCCTTTATAAATTAGCATAAATTTGCGATACCGGTCAAAACTGGAAGAAATGACCGGGACGGAGGGAGTAATTAGGGGATGTACACAAAAAGTGTACAAATTTTATGTACCAGTATGTCTTTCGTTCTGAATATCACTTTGTATTGAGGTCCTTATTTTTGACCCGACCCGAGCCCGGACCGGAAAACCCACGGGCCGGGCCTACCCGGACCGGTCACTGACCGGGCCACCGGGTCAGGCCGGGCCGGAACAGTACCGGTCCCGGGCCGGTTCCGGGTCGGGCCACCCGGCCCGAGTCCATACCTAATTGAGGATACCGAAGGGATTTAAGTGCTGGGGCCTGGGGGGACTTGATTAATGCGTTGATAGATTGAAGGATTGACAAATTGAAATATATGATACGGAGTGCATTTGTAGTTGATACATCCACAATTTTCCAACTTTATAAAACCTCATTAGAGCATTTTCAATGCAAAAATGTGAACCGTGCATACGTGCCATGAGAAATAGCCAATTAAAAAATAACAAATAGAATATCTCTCTCCTTTCCACAGTTTTATACGTTTTTGGTAAGTTTTTCTTAACAATGTCAACCACAATGTCTACATCTAGATATTGTACTTGATATTGTGGAGAAAAACTTATAAAAAATATATAAGATCGTGGAAAGAAGGAGAGAGAAACGTCAAAAATTTAATCATTTGTGTCTATCTCTTTCATGACACATGTGCACCGTGCACATCGTAACATTGGAGATGCTCTCACATATATATATCTAAATTTAAATCACCCCAAATAACAAGCTCTTTCATTAAAGAAACTTGGAGTGTCGGAATATACAATCATTACTTATAAAAAAAGTGATCACTTTCAAAATTAAAGAATCCCGAAAAGGATTGTCTGGCCATTTACATTTCTAGGGTATGTATTCCTAACGGTCAATAGTCCCCACTTTATCCTTCAGGAAACAATGATGTTCTTTACGCAATCCCCGTTCAAATTATCACACAGTTGGCAACCCACGACAACAGCTGTACATATCATTTGGAAAGTCTTCTGCTATCACAATCAATAATAATAGTAAAGATAACATTATAATTAGAAAACACAATACACAATGCAATAATTTGAAATCCTCAACGAATACAGGATGCTTAAAACAAGACTTTCTACATTGACAGCAAATAAACTGGCACACTGCAAAGAAACCAAACGGCTATTTCTAAACAGCATGAACTACACAAACTAGCTCTTGTTCCGATCAACCACAATTTTAACAGATTCTTTCCATCAAGTCATTTTCATTTTTTTCTCACGTTAGCTTTGCAGGGCATTTAAGAAATGAAATTACGTGATTAAAATTTATTTAGAAAGCAAAGACTAGTACAAGCCTCAAAATTCTTTCCTTCCAAACAAAGAGAGAGATTAATTAGGAACGGGTCATAAAGAAAAGCCTAAAATTAAAATGGGACAGAGGGTCAAAGGGAGTAGATAACATCTTGACCACAATTTGAGGGATTGACAAAATCCATGAATTCCCTAATTCCCAGATATCGGTATTCAAACCTGTGCAGCGTATATCAGTTTCAGGAACAAGAGAATTTATATGAATTAGAAGTAATTCCAAATGAAGCCTATAGAATATAATGCACCACCTGTAGAACAAGTTGTACAGACCACATGAATTACAATTTCCGATCAATGTAGAAATACAAGCAAGAAATTATTTGGAACAGTAATGCTTTAAATCAACCATAAGTTCAATATCATACTATTCACACTCACATATCCATTATGTTGTATGTGATACCTGCCATTTTGCTAATCTTGCTACAGATGAACAAACGGCCACCTTGCTTTCACCGGGGGTAAACAATTTGTGAAAGAATCAATGCAAGCTAAATATAGTGTGATGGAGTACAATATAGGCAAAATTCATATGCGTAATTCTTACGTTCAATGGTTCTACAATAATAATCTGTACTTGAAATATAACAAAATAATCTCAACTCATGATGGCGCCAACAAAAATAGAAGATCGTATGAAATTTACATAGGTCAATTACCTTCCATTTGCTATTCCCCATGCACCTACTCGCACAATTCTCCCTCCTAAGGTGACTTAGCAAGTGAGATTTTTAAAATTACCCTTGTTCCTCTTACCACTATTTGATAAAGTGGAGGTAGTGGTTGGAGTATTAAACGAGCATTAGTTTGAATTCACACCAATTTATTTATGTGTACGACATTGCATGTTCGGATTATTTTTATGAATACTTTGAGTAGTAATTATTATTGTAGAATCCCTGAAAGTAGGGATTATTCGTATGAACTTCGCCTATAATATATGGTCATAAAGGGGGGGGGGGGGGGGGGGGGGGCTAGGGCAACGATGCAGCACGATCGGATTCGATCATAGACTTGATGTAAAACTCCCCAGCCTTATATGATGATCTCACCATGGGACCAGACGCTACATACCGAAATCCCTGTGAACACGAGAAGGCAGTCATTTCATTACTGACAAGTTTTCACATAAAAAAATAGTTTTGTAATAACAGATAGCAAAGCTCAGTGCATGCACATAAAGTAGTGCTTATCTAAAACAAGATCATATTCCAAGTTTCCATCTGGTATATCTAGAACAAGCAAATTCTTATAATCCACTAACAATTTCATACAGCTGGTAAAGTTGTAGGGAGCATTTTTGCTAAATTCTCCTCTGAAAAGGATCCACACAGCAAATTCATTTTAACATTGTTTGGAAGTGGTAAGAGTGAGTTGGGAAAAGTAACAAGTTAGTAGTGTTTCAATAAAGGAATGGGAATATTGTCTTGGGGCAGATTTAAGAGGAAAAGGCAAACAATGCAGAGAAGGAATAATTTTTATAAAAAAAAACTTTATCCATACTTTGAGCGTACTGGGCACACATCTTCAGTGTGTTGGCGAATGGTGACACCTTTATTAAAAGGTTAGTTTATCAAAAGACTTGGCTTGTAAGCCCCTTAAGTTGACTAAAATGACCAGATGGGATAAGTTTGATGATGTCCTGACTGAAGTATATTAATATACTCGGATACTCCCTCTGACCCAATGCAAGATACAATTTCGGTTTGGCAAGGGTTTTAAGAAAGTAAACAATATATACTGCGTATTTCTTTTACCCTTGTAACCTCCAAAATTTAAGAAGTATTAATTTAGGAAAGCGTTCATATTTTTGGGACAGACTAAAAAGGAAACTGTACCAATGTACCATATAAAATAGGACGGAGGGAGAAATTATTAAAGGTGTTATTAAATTAAACACTGATGTTACTAATGTAAAAGAAATAATATCTAAATGCTCCCTGCGCTTTCAATTGTATTTCCTCCTCATTTTCGTGACTTTAGTAAAAAAAAGCTGCATTACTTCCTTTTTATAATTTTTAAGCAGTTTCCCTAAAATCCGCCCAAGCTTGGCTCATTAGGCTGACAAGTGATAACGATTAATATCTCACAGGACAGGTTTTTGGTCCAGTGAAATGCAGAAAGTATCTAAAGCTTCACACATGAGATGTTTTGAATTAAGAAGACTAGTGAAAACAATTAACCATCTAATACTTGCTACCAAATGTGGCGTCACATGCCATGTTACGAGCCCAATATCATTTGGTCATCTCCAACCAAAACCGCAAAATTTGGAATAATTTCACACCTAAACAAAAAAACTTCAACATCAAAGTTTATGAGTACACTAAAATGAATCATCTTAGAAAATTAGTCCAGTAAGTCAGTAACATTAGTTAATCTCCAACTCATTATATAAAAACATATACTAAAATGTATAATCCTAGGAGCACTCTCTTTTTTTAAAAATAAAAATAATAATTCTATTGCTGCACCAAATTTGGCGTGGTTGAAAGTGGGACGCTAAATATGGTCTCCATGTTTATATACTGATTTCCTATGATTCTTAACAGCCAATGTACTAAAAGCAATCAACCAATCATAACATGACAAACAAACTTTTTGCCATGAATTCGAATATTCTACCCAAGCTTCTAGTTTTAAATGAAGAGATGAGACTTAAGACCACATATTGATCCCGCTAACATGCCACCAAAGTTATAATACGATTCCAATTAGTTTTGTTTTCTCACTTTTCATCAGGACAACATACATGTAAGGATTTCCTTAGAGATCATGTATATGCAAATATGCAATGGCAAGCAGAACTGAGACATGCACAAAAATTATTTACACTGAACACCCAAAACTATTTAGGAAAGAGAAAGAAGATGAATTGATACAAACCATTTGCATCCCAAGAAGTCGATACTTCTCAAAAGCCTCAGGAGTTACATATTCTGATACAGGCATATGCCGCTTTGAGGGTCTCATGTACTGACCAAATGTCATCACATCAACACCAGCAGCCCGCACCTTTTCCATTGTTTTAACAATTTGATCAGGTGTTTCTCCGCAACCCAACATTATGGATGTCTTGGTAAGAGTACCAACAGGAGCATAATCCTTGGCCATCATCAAAACATCCATGGACTGCTTAAAGTTAGCACGGTGATCTCGTACAACACTCTGAAGTTCCTCAACCGTTTCAATATTATGAGCAAAAACATCTAATCCAGACTTTGCAACTTTCTCAACACAACTAGGATCCCCTCTAAAGTCTGGAACTGCAATAAAGAAACAAACTCAAGCAATGAGAATGAAGGCATATGTCTGGATCTGCTGAATTGCTACTTTTGCTATTGTGAGGCTTTAATTCTTACATGAGTTTACTATTTAGATATACAATCTGAAATTTCTCAGTTAGACAAACAGGGTAAATTGAATAAGTTAACTACTCCTTCTGTCCCAAAGATAATTACTCCCTCTGTTCCAAACTGAAAGTACCAATTATTCAATTTGGGTGTGCAAACTAAAAGTCCCATTCCCCTTTTCAGAATTTTTTTTAACATGAATTCCAATTTTAACCTTCTTCCTATTATAAATCTACAAATTTACCTTTCCTAAATACGGAAGGTAAAAGACGAGTAATTTAATAATTTTAACACCCTCTCTTAATCTTTGGGCCCAAAAAGTTTGGGGATTCATTTAGAGAAGGAGGTAGTCAGGTAGTGTTATTAATCTATTATTATTCACAGCAAACTAAATAGTTAAATCAATACTCAGTGGCTACTAGGTCAAGGGTCTAGTAGCGAGTCGGACCGACTAGTAACTACTAGGTCATCTACTAGTAAATGTTATACTACGTATGAATCAACATTTTTAGTAACATTGATTGAGTAAGTTATACACACACATAGCAGAAATAACAATACATAAGAAACTAGTCATCATCATCATTATCATTACCCCAATACCGCAAAGGCTCCCACCTACGGTAGGGTAGGGGGGGTCGGATGTACACAGTCTTACCCCCTTGTACTAAAGCACAGGGAGACTATTTCGGGATGACCCACAGTGAAAAAACGCTTCCAAAATTGCATAGACTGACCGCTGCTTCATAACAAAGAAGCCCGGACAGTTTAGTGAGTCATATTGCTTTATTCCATCATATTCTCAAGCCAAAAAATAGTGAATCTTTGGCTCCATTGCAATTGTTGGAAAATACATACTCCCTCCATCCCGCTAAAAGGTTCCCGTTGACGGTTTACGATGCTTGACTGACGATAAAGCAACTTAATCCCTGTTCACACCTTGATTATTTTTAGTAAATAAAATTAACATATTCAGAAACTACATTAAAATCGCTACAAAGTCTGATAAAAAAAATGTAAATTTGATAAAAATTTGATTTATAAAGTAAAAGATTAAAAATGATTTAAGTTGACCATGTGAATAGTGGACGGGAACCTTCTAATGGGACGGAGGTAGTAAGAAACTAGTATGAATCATTAATGTTTTAAACAAATCCATCATCATATTAGTGCATGAATATCCTAAAATTGTAATCTTTATTATACTTACATAAATATAACTATATTTTAGCTAATGTATGCATATTATAAACAGATACTTTGATGCTTGTGTAAATATTGCATGCACGCACATATAAAAAGTATATGAGTGCTTATATATAAATAAACGTATTATTATACTTACCGTTCTAATTACAGTATTATTAGGTTAACAACAACAACATCCAAGCCTAATTAGGTTATGTAAAATATATCATAGCCTAAATCACATATATATACATATATATAGAGAGTAGTGTTGTCCAGACGGTCTAACTGACCCTCTATATATATAAATATATATATGTCCAACCAACCTGACAGGACCCGCCGTCCGGCCAAGGCCGTTTGGAGCCCTTCCCAGTGGAATTTTTTGATGAAATTTTTTTGAGCATTTTCTTCATCCAGTCTAATTTATGCCCACTAAATTTCAGCTAAGAATTTAATCGAGAAGTCAGTCAAATGTGAAATTGAAAAACACTGCGCTGATTATTTATATAAAGCGCAGTATTTTTGAATAATTTATTTAACTGCCTTCTCGATTGAATTTAAAGCTAAATTTTGGTGGGCATAAACTAGGTTTGATGAAGAACATGCTCAAAAAAAATCATCAAAAAAGTCCACCGAGAAGGGCCCATATGGCCTTGGCCGGACGCCGGGTCCTTTCATGCTGGCCTGACATAATCGTTGCTCTCTCTCTATCTATGTGTCTCTCTCTATAGAGAGAGGGAGAGAAATTATCTTGTCCAGCCGGAGGGACAGGACCCTCCTTTCGGTCGCCGCCGTTTGGGGAGGTTCGCGGTGGAAATTTTTGATGAAATATTTTGAGCATGTTCCTCATCAAGTCTAGTTTATCCACACAAAAAATCAGCTAAAAATTCGATCGGGAAGCCAGTCAAATAATGTTTTGAAGATAACTGTGCAAAATTATACATATAAAACGCAGTTATATTAAAAAAATTATTTAACTGCTTTCCCGATCGAATTTTTAGCTGAATTTTTTTTGCAGAACATGCTCAAAAAAATTCATCAGGAAACTCCACTGGAAACCGCCCCAAACGGCGGCGGCCGGACAGAGGATCCTGTGTTGAGCTTGTTATACACGAAGAAGAACACAAATAAAGAAGGCAATTAACAGCTCATACGTTCATTGAATGAATTAGGCTTTATATAGCCATATTACACGAGATAATAACCACTAAATGAAAATAACAAACTCCTAGTTTTAAGCCATGCTTGTACGTGCATAACTATCCTATCCACTAGCTACCAACACCTTCTAAACAATAGGTAACAACCTTAGACTTATTCAAATGCTTAATAACTAAACAAATAATAAGCAAATGTATCAAATGTTACGTATGCATGTGGCCATGCACTTCTAACTTGGATCACTTTCAACACCACCCCTTGATCCAAGCTTAGTCATCCCAATTCTCTTCATGAAGTGATAATGCTTTGTATGATTCAGTGCTTTAGTGAATAGATCTGCATTTTGCCATTCAGTACCACAGAATTGAAGTGAAATACTTCCTTTTGCCACAAGCTGCCTTATGAAATGATGTTGAACATCAATATGTTTGGTCCTGGAATGATAGGCTGGATTTTTTGTCATTGCTATAGCTGATTTGTTGTCACACCACAATTCAATTCCTTCTGATTGAGAACATCCCAAGTCCTTCAGTAGCTTGCTGATCCATAAAGCTTGCTTTGATGCTGCTCCAGCTGCCACATATTCAGCTTCTGAGGAGGATAAAGCAATGGTTTCCTGCTTCTTTGAGCTCCAAGTTACTGCCCCTGATCCTAGGTCAAAGACTGATCCTGACATGCTCTTCCTGTCATCCACACACCCAGCCCAATCACTATCAGTATACCCTCTCAATTTGATCTCTTTCAGACTTGAGTACCACAATCCATACTCCAATGTTCCAGCAACATATTTTAAGATCCTCTTTGCAGCACCAAAGTGTTGTCTGGATGGTTTTTGCATGTACCTAGACACAATACTAACACAATAAGCCAGATCAGGCCTTGAGTGTGTTAGATAATTGAGTCCCCCTACAAGGCTTCTGTAAAGTGTGACATCTGCATCCTCAGTACCATCACATTTCTGAAGCTTCTCACTTGAATTCATAGGTGTAGCAATAGTCTCACAGGTCTCCATGTGAAACCTTTTTAGGAGATTAATAGCATACCTCTTCTGGCTAAGAAAGGTGCCCTCTTTTCCTTGCTTAACTTCTAAGCCAAGGAAGTACTGAAGTGGACCCAAATCAGTCATCTCAAACTGATTGGTCATTGATGCTTTAAAAGAGGTTAGCAGACTTTGTGAAGAAATGAAATAGATAATATCATCAACATAGAGGCAGACAACCAGAAATTCCATACCTTCCTTCTTAACATACAGAGTAGGCTCATTGTCACTCTTCTGAAATCCTGAGTTGATAAAAAAGGAATCAATTTTACTGTACCATGCTCTAGGGGCCTGCTTTAGCCCATAAAGAGCCTTCTTGAGCCTATACACCTTTTCTTCTTCCCCTTTCTTCACAAAGCCTACTAGTTGATGAACAAACACTTCCTCAAGTAAGTCACCATTAAGAAAGGCTGACTTGACATCCAATTGGTACACAGGCAGCTTCAATTGCGCAGCCAATGCAAGGACAATCCTTACAGTTTCAAATCTGGCCACAGGAGAGAAAGTCTCTTCATAGTCCACCCCTTCTTGCTGAGCATAACCTTTGGCTACAAGCCTAGCCTTATGCTTAGAAATACCTCCATCTTGATTGTATTTAGTTCTGTAAACCCACTTTAAGCCAATCACATTCTTTTCCTGGGGCAGATTCACCAACTCCCAGGTTCTGTTTCTCTCAATGGCATTAATTTCTTCCTGCATTGCCTGTCTCCACTCATCATAGATGGCAGCCTCATGATAATCTGTAGGCTCAGTAACAATGAAAGCAAAATCACAGGATTCATATATATCAACTAGTGACCTGACTTTTCTAGGCTGATCACCTGATGAACTGCTAGATTCTGAGCTAGAGCTTGATGAGTTGCCAACTTCAGAACTGTCAGTTGTGTTGATTGGAGAATTTGGAGGAGTGGTTGGAGGTGAGGAGTTGACAGGAGTAGCTGGTTCTGATTGAGGTGAAGGTTGATCATCAAGACTTACAATCCTGGGTGCTTCTTGCTCAGTATGGGACTCCCAATTCCAGGCTGCATCTTCATCAAAGATCACATTTCTGCTAATAACAATCCTTTTTGTAAGAGGATTGTAGAGTCTGTATGCCTTAGATTGAGTTGAATATCCTATAAAAATGCATTTTTCTGCCTTATCCTCTAGTTTAGTTCTCTGGTTCACTAGAGTGTAGGCTATGCATCCAAACACTTTCAAATGACCTACTGAGGGTCTTTTCTTTCTCCATGCCTCAAATGGTGTGCAATTTGGGACTGCTCTAGTTGGACATACATTCAGAATGTACACAGCTGTGGATACAGCTTCACCCCAGAACTTGGTTGGCATATTTTTGACTTTTAACATACTCCTTGCCATCTCAACAACTGTCCTGTTCTTCCTCTCTGCTACCCCATTTTGCTCAGGGGTATAGGGTGCAGTAAACTCTCTTCTCATGCCATGCTCATCACAAAGCTGGGCAAAATCTTTAGAATTAAACTCACCTCCTCTGTCAGTCCTTAGTGCTTTAACTGACTTTCCAGTTTGATTCTCAACTAAAGCCTTAAACTTCTTAAAGTTTTCAAGAGCTTCAGACTTGGCCTTTTGAAAATAGACCCAGGACATTCTAGTGAAATCATCAGTGATCAATAAGAAGTACTTACTGCCTCCTAATGACTCAATTTCCATTGGACCACATAAATCAGCATGGAGCAGTTCTAGACATTCACTTGCTCTCCATGAGCCTCCAATTGGAAAGGAACCTCTTGATTGCTTTCCATATATGCACCCTTCACAAAGTTCTAGTGTGCCAATACTAGGTAGGCCTTTAACAAAGCCTCTAGCACTTAGAATTTGCAAGCTGGATATGTTAAGGTGACCATACCTCAGATGCCATAATTTGGCATTTTCTTCTCCCTTGACTACCAAAGCTCTTCCATTGGTTAATGCCAAGTCCATGTGAAACAGCTTGTTTCTTCCCATTTCAGCCTTTAGCAAGACTTCTTTTGTGCCTTCATCCTTGATTGTGCATATTCCATCTGCAAAAGAAACTGAGTAGCCTCCTGCCACCAATTGTCCAACACTTAGCAAATTATGAGCTAGTTGAGGGACATATTGTACATTGGATAAAGCTTTCTTCCCTCCTAGTTCTGTCTGCACTGTGATCACTCCTAGACCTTTGACTTCAAGTTGTTTTCCATCTTCTATTCTGACAATGCCTTTCTTAGTCTCATCAATATGCTGAAACAGGCTCTTGAATCCTGTCATGTGGTTAGAACAACCACTATCAATGTACCATACTGTACTTCCATCATGATCCAAGCTATGATGAGCAATAAATAATTGTTCTTGCTCAGCATAATTGGACCTATGATCTTCTCTCTTGGGGGCAAGATCTGGATTCTTTCTCCAGCATTCTGCTTCCTTATGACCATTCTTGTTACGATAGTAACATTTAATAGGAGGTTTAGAATTGCCTTGTCTTCCTCCATGACTGGAGGAACCTCTTCCTCTGCCCCTTCCAGCATGACCACCTCTGAAGCCTCCCCTACCTCTTCCTCTTCCCCTATTTGGGTCCTGGAAGGCTTGATCATTTGTTGATTCATTTTGGGCTTGAAAAGCTTGTTCTTCATTCTTTTCAGCCTCACCTCTGTGTCTTTCTTCATATGCCTGAAGAGATCCTTTGAGCTCTTCAAAGGTATAGGTTTCCATATCCTTAGCCTCTTCAATGGCACATATAAGATGGTCATATTTTGGTGTAAGACTTCTCATTACCTTGCTTATCACCTGCTGAGATTGAACCTCCTCTCCATAAGACTTCATCTGTTGCACCAAGGTTGTGATTCTTGATAAATAGTCCTGAACTGACTCCTTATCTTTCATGCGTGTGTTTTCCATCTCCCTCCTGAGAGACTGCAATCTGACCATAATTACCTTCCTATCTCCTAGGTATTCTTGCTTTAGAATACCCCAAGCTTCTTTTGAGGTAGAGGCTGCAGCAATGCGTGGAAAAATATCATCATCTAGAGCTTGTTGAATAAGGAAAAGGGCTTTGGCATCTTTCTTCCTTTTCTCTCAAAGGGCTTGATCTGGCTCCTGAGGCTGCTCATCTTCAAACCCTTCCTCCACCACACTCCATAGTTCTTGTGACTTGAAGAGGGTCTTCATTTTCAAGCTCCAAAAGTGATAATTAACCCCTTTGAACAAGGGTAATTGATTGGCTGAGTTTCCATTTGCTGAGCTTTGCATTTTAGGGTGATTTTGTTTTGTTTTTCTTGGTTTTCTTTCGTGTATTTAAGACTGATCCAACCCAGTCTCTGATACCAAATGTTGAGCTTGTTATACACGAAGAAGAACACAAATAAAGAAGGCAATTAACAGCTCATACGTTCATTGAATGAATTAGGCTTTATATAGCCATATTACAAGAGATAATAACCACTAAATGAAAATAACAAACTCCTAGTTTTAAGCCATGCTTGTACGTGCATAACTATCCTATCCACTAGCTACCAACACCTTCTAAACAATAGGTAACAACCTTAGACTTATTCAAATGCTTAATAACTAAACAAATAATAAGCAAATGTATCAAATGTTACGTATGCATGTGGCCATGCACTTCTAACTTGGATCACTTTCAACATCCTGTTCCTCCGGCTGGAAAGGATCTTTTATGATATATATATATATATATATATATATATATATATATATATATAGTCATTCTCCTGTCCAGCACTTTTCTGTCCGAATGCCGTCCGAACACCGCCGTTTGGGAAGGTTCCCGGCGGAATTTTTTGATGAAATTTTTTGAGCATGTTCCTCATCAAGTCTAGTTTATACATACCAAATTTCAGCTCAATATTCGATCAGGAAGGCTCTCTCTATATATATGTATATATATACACAAACATAACTTATAGACCCCTCAAAAAATAATTACGAAAATGTCACCGCAAAAAATTAAGTCTGGAAACCTTGAAAAAAATTTGACGCGGTGGCATTTTCGTAATTATTATGGAGAGCTTTATAAGTTATGATTTATTGGTTATAAGTTCCTATATTCAGTCTATAAGTTTACTGTGTTGCAAGATTAGATGTCAATCCAAGGGCTGAGATTACTTCTCACTTTTCATTTTAAAGGGCACTTCTCACCTGATCTTTTCTATATATATATACATATATATAAACACAAATATTCACCTCCCTCCAGTTCGGGGGAAGGCCCTGTCCGGCCACCTCAATTTGAGGTGGTTCCGGGGGTATTTTTGGTTGAAATGTTTTGTGTATGTTCATCATCAAGTCTAGTTCTTTCATACCAAATTTGAGCAAAAAAATCAATCGGGAAGGTCGTCAAATGAATTTTGCATGAAAATTGCGTTTATATGTATATTCCGGACCAGTTATCATGCAAAAATCATTTGATGACATTCCCGATTGATTTTTTTGCTCGAATTTGGTATGGATGAACTAGACTTGATGAGGAACATACACAAAACATTTAAGCCAAAAATACCCCCGGAACCACCTCAAATCGAGGTGGCTGGAGGAGCCTCCTGTCCGGCCGGTTCGGACATGAAGATAACTATATATATATGTATGTATGTATGTATGTATGTATGTATGTATGTATGTATGTATGTATGTATGTATGTATGTATGTATGTATGTATGTATATATGTATGTATATATATGTATGTATGTATGTATTTATGTATATATGTGTGTGTGTATATATATACTCCCTCCGTCCCATTTTACTTAGCCAAACTTGATTTTTCAAGTCAATGGCGTCTAACTTTGACCGATTATATGTTTATATAGAGAAAGTATTGTTAAAAATACTATCATAAAAGTATAAAATTATTAAATTTTATATAAATATATTAGTTTAAATAATTGGTCAAAGTTTACCACCTTTGATTGGAAAAGGCAAAGATGTCTAAGTAAATTAGGACGGAGGGAGTGTGTGTGTGTGTGTGTGTGTGTGTGTGTGTATATCATAAAAGCATAATAGCATTACAAGTTGTTTATACTACCTCCGTCCCGAAAAGGTTCGTCATATTGACTTTTCTTGACCAATGATGACGAACTTTGGTCTTTGGACAATGATATTAATTACTAATATTAATTTATTATATTAAAATGTTCTTTATTCAAAATACTTTCAAAATATTAATTACTAGTATTTTCAAAATATTTTTAAAATATTTTTATAAAAATCATATAAAAAATATAATTGGTCAGATTGAGTACCATTGATCTAGAAAAGTATCATTTGGTGAACATTTTTGGGAGGGAGTATCATTTATTCTACGGATTATCAGTTTTATGCTTTTATACTCATAAAATAATATTTGTTACATTATAAAGTAAAGAACACATATTTAAAGCATACAAAATATCTTTAAGGCTATATAATGTCCATCATCCCCATAACATAACAGGAAACAGGGACTGAATCCTAGACTTTAATACTTCCAAAGCTTAGATGTTGTCATGTTCTTTTTCCATTTACTAAAATAAGTAAAACTAAGTCCTGTTTTCAAAATCCTAATCTTCAGACTTCAGTTTCAAAATCCTAACTCAGTTGTCACATTTTAGGACAACAGAGTTACTCAGCGTGTAAAACTAGACAGCTGGTAGTGAAAATCGGTGAGTACTCGCCAATAAACTCAGAATTTTGATACGGAATGATTAGGTAACCTAAACAGCAAGCTTTATGTTTGAGTAGAGAGTACTCGCCTAGTAATTGCCGATTACATAACATAGATGCCAAGTGCTTCAGTACGAATATCTGGCTTAAACAATACTCATACGAAGTGCTTCAATAAGAATATCTGGCTTTTAAACAATACTCATACCAAGTGCTTCAATAAGAATATCTGGCTTCAATTCCTTAAGCTTCTGCACTGTCTCGGTAAAGTGACCACTTCCTTGGTCAGGTAAATCATCACGGTCAACACTAGTTATCACAACATAATCCAGACCCCATGAAGCAATTGCCTCAGCCACATTGTATGGTTCATCTGGATCAGGAGGGGGTGGGGTGCGTGAAGTCTTTACATTGCAGAACCTGTCAAATTTAGAGCGTCACAGCATAAGGAATGAAATGATTTCATGCTTTCCGTTATACAGATTTTTAATTTTATAATGCCAGTACAACCAATGGCCTAGGTTCTGCTTCATCAATTAGCTCAAAAAACATCAACATATATCTTGACAAATACAAGAAAACATCATAAGCTAAGTCCATCTGAAATATACCATTCAAGTAAAGTGGTGAACTAATACTGAAGAATTATACGGAGCAAGTTGCACTAAGACTCATAATACAAAAACAAGTGTTAGTTTAAGGGAGTGAACACAAACATAAGAAAATTTAAGCAAAGCTTCTTGAGATACGTTATTTTGGTTCCATATGACATAGGTTCAACAGTTCTACTAAGTGAGAAAAATAAAAAGTGAAACAATGAAGGTCCTAAATTAATGCCAAATTAAGCAAAATTACATAACTTTCCGATTAATAAACCATGCAAACCAGTCATCTCCAACTACATATCCTCCAACCTTTTAGTCTTTAACTAGGTACACATCTCTCTCTTTCAAACAGTGAGTCTTATCTTCGGGTGGTTGATTGAAAATGCAAGCCAATAACTGGAAAAATATTGGGAATTCTTCACAGGGAGAAACTCAGAGTAGATGGCTAGGTTGTGGTTGAGTAAATACTTAAAGCCAATAATTATATAAGAAAAACATACAGCGAGATTATTACCTGCACCCTCGAGTACAAGTATCCCCAAGGATCATAATTGTCGCAGTGGCAGTTCCTGTTTCACCGCCGGACCAACATTCTCCCAAATTAGGACATTTAGCCTCTTCGCATACCGTGTGCAGTTTCAACTCTCTCAGTTTCTTCTTGATACGCGTGTACTTCTCTCCTCCAGGGATCGCTTCCTTCATCCACTTGGGCTTCGGGAGCGGCTTCTTCTTCGTTCCGACCTCGACGGAGTATTCGTGATCCGATTGGAGCCGCGTGAAGTCAGACAGCGTCGGCGACTCGGCAGCTAGCCTGCTACGCAATCCCTCCAAAGTTCGCGGGTATGGATGAGAAGAAGGGGATGAAGGAGGGATGGAAGAAACGGAGGAGAAGGATTGCGGATTGAGAAGATGGGGATGAAGAGACATTAAGGTGGCTTGAGAGGGGCGGTAGTGGGTGGATTTGAGTAATAGGGAAGCGAGAGTTGGGAAGCGGGTCTTCATCTTCCCGGCGATCGTTTCAACCTCCCTCACGATTGCGGATAGGGAAACGGAAAAGGCAACGGTTGCTTCTCCGGTGGTCTCTCGGATTTGCTGTAGGGGTTGCCTGAGCACCGAACAGAGGCTAACGGGAGCACGTGGTCACATGCTATTTCGGGCTTGATGGGCTATTTAGGGAGGAACTTTCGCTCATTAATTAATGTGGAATAAGCCCAAATAATTTTTTTGGCAAAATAAGCCCAAGTAATTATGTAGACGATCACTTTTGTGGAAACGGAAATTTTCACAAATAGCCTAAAATTGAAAATTATCACTTTTTTCACTTTTGAAAATTCTTTTCAAAAATAGACCAGTAAAGTTTTCCTTCATAAATAGACTTTCGTACATAGAGCTCCAGTCATGCGCATTTTGATTCCTTAAAAGTGCAGTTAGGTTATTAAAAAGGAAAGTTTGCACGGATGCCACGTTAGTAAGCAAAAGTGTTATCTCCAACTTTATTCAACTCTTAAAAAATGTAAATTAGAAAATATTTTTTTTTGTAAAAATAAAAATATAATAGGAATTTTATAAATCGGATGATCTTTAAATATTAAAAGTATACATTATAAAAAATAAAATAACACGAAAGATTTTTCAAACAATTATAAATATGAACATGGTTTATTTTTTTAAAAGAGTCAAAAAGTCTAAAAAATAATAAAAATATTTTTAAAAAGAAAATAAATAAAAATCATAATATTAAGAAAAGAATGAAGGAAAGCAAGCAATTCAAATAAAAAATATATGAATTATCAGAAAACTTCAGAAAACTAAAACAAGTGTTAAATTGGTTTTGTTTTAACCCTTTCGAAAACAAAAATTTTAAACATTTAAGATAAAAAAAATTAAAAATCGTTAAAGCTAAAACAAATTGTAACAAAAAATAAAGAAGATGAATTCTGAGATTTAGAACACATAAAAAAACTCAAATATATATATAAAGTTTGAAAACATCTAAAACTTCAAAATTACTGTTAATAAGTAAATAAAAATAGAAAATAAGATTCTTTGAATTTTTAAAAATCAGAGAACTGGACTAAATTAATAAGCATTAAAATCTAAAACCCATGGACATAAATTTATTTTTATTATATCATTATCACTTATTTTTTACTTTTGTTACATATTGTTTCTTTGTGTTTCCCTTTGTTGATAATTTTACAATTTTTTTGTTTTTTATTGTTTCTTCAAATTTCTTTTTGTTTATTCATAAGTCCAATTTTATTATTTTAGGTGTTTTTTTCCTATTGTTTCTTTGTGTTTATTTTTGTTGATAACTTTGGAATTCTTGTTTTTATTGTTTCTTCTTGTTGTTCATATTCATTAATTGATATTTAACATTTTTTTGTGTTTGTTCATACTGTCTATATAGATATTTCAATTTTAAGGATTAGAAAAATATATAGAAATCCAAAAAAATAACAAAAAACTGTTTTTGAATGTAATGTTTCTTAGAGTACATAAACTTTGAATAATTATTATTATCATTTTTTTAGTTTTTGTTGCATATGGTTTCTTTGTGTTTCTTTTTGTTGACATTTCTAAAAATTTGTTTTTTATTGTTTCTTTATGTTTCTACTTTTTTTTATATTCACTAATCAAAATTTAACATTTTCAATGTTTGTATCTAAATCTATCTAGACATTTCTATTTTAAGAATTTAGAAAAATAAATAGAAATCTAATTAACAACAAACATCTAAGTCAACAATAAAAATAAACACAGTGCAACAAAAAGTAACAAGATGCAACAAAATGCAACACGATGCAACAAAATGCAACACGATGCAACAAAATGCAATACATGTGGTACAACAAAAAGCAACAAAATATAATACTACGGGTATATATAGTTTCACAACAAATATACAATTTGATCTATTATTTCAATTTACTACATTTATCTATTACGTAGTATATTGTTTGGTTTTGCTTCTTCTCATTTCTTCTTTCGTATGTTACTCATACTGGCACTAGTGTAGGTGTGCCTTATGGAAGCAAGCACGATGATCACTTGTAGCTAATAAGACATTCTCCCCGGTTGAAGAAGACCTTTCTCGTCACATATTTAATCATTCTATACCAATCATGTCCATAACACTAGAAAATGGTTCCATCATTTCCAACATGGCTGCAAGACGAGCAACACATCCATCAACAATTTTGTTTAGGTACACCAGAGGATTTGTCGAGTGGACTCCTTGATAAATAAACAAGATAGTGCTAAACTCTTCATGTATTTTGTGTTGAAATAATACGGTTTGCATTCAAAAGAGGATCCAAAAAGAACTTGAAAGCTACTTAAGTAAATTCTAGCAACGTAAAATCAAGAACCATATCTCATGATGTTAATAAAAGTTCCCAAGACAAGGACATACCAACCTATGAGTCACAAAAACAATGGGATGCTTTCCAATGCCAGCTGCAACATGCTTCTCCAATATGCTTCTCCAAGACCTGTCAAAAGTATAGAAACAATAAATATTGGCACCATCACGAGTTGAATAAAAAGCAATCAAGAGAAAATAACTTGACTGGCCTAGTAGTGATGTCACTTGAGGTTGATGTTTTGTTTTCCATAGGTGAGGGGAACAATTTTTAATGTGAAGCATTAAGAATATTAAAAGCATAGCTCTCCATGAGTGAAACATTTCCTGTTTTTTCTGGAAAAATGTGTTTAATGTGTCAACAAATATCTCTATTTACTATGTATAAAATTTGTCAACTAATATATCTATCTAGTATGTAGAAGACAGCTTGTAAGAGCTCTCATGCCTAATTAATCGCCAACTAATGTCAAACATGTCAGCTTGGATGAGAATCTATGCCCACTTTTAATCTGTTTCAATATAAAATTCCGATTTCAACTGCTACAAATACTTGACTCATCCATTATAAAACTCATGTTTCATTCTGAGCTTTAATTCAAAATTTACACTTCAATTCGAGTTCCATTTGTTCAGTGACCTCCTTCACCAAATACTTCAACATATTTGGTTGCATATGTTGTTGTTCTTCTACAGCACATCAACCAAAACATTGGCAGAACATTATCCATCCAATTTTTAAAAATTTGACAATAACTTAAAATATCACTCAAGCAATATAGAGTCGTTATATCCTACTAACGTTCTAGCAAGAAAAGGAGTGGTAGTAGTTAGGATTTTGGCTGAATTATTACATGTGTTTTATCCCATAATCTATTCCCCAAAATCTAATATAGTCAGGAATATCCACGAGACCTAACACCTCAGCATGCTGAAAAACACAAAGAGCATAAACTTAGAAGTTATTCGAATAAATATGAATTTGTCTCTCCTTCAGAAAGAAAGTAGGGAACCTGGAAAATATGCCGCTATGTGCGTCTTCCGGTGCCACCTATTAGTTTTTTTTACTCGACAATTTCAGAATTCAACCTAAAGGAAATCCAAAAAATGAAATTGGATTTCTGAAGAAAAAACGAAAAATCTGCTTAGAAAACGAAATCAGATCTGGAATTACAGAACCTGGCCTGACTCATAGCCCAGGTGCGCACTGACTCAATGACCACCGGCAAGAGTCCGAACTCTGCCGCCTTTGTGATAGCGTCGCTCGCAGCTTGTTCCTCCAGCGACGCAAGTCTCCCCTTGGCCGATCTCCACTTCGTCGCAGCCGCACTTAGGCGGTTTTCCAACGACTCCCTGAATATGTCTTGCGTCGTGCGTCTCTCTGGTATACGAATAGGTGGAATGGAAAGAATAGAGGTGAAGTCGCTAGAGAGGCTGTTGAGGAATGAGGAGATTGATAGGAATGTGGAAGAAGGGCTGAAGCTTCGGGAAGATGAAGGCCGATGCGGAGTTGGTGTCGATTAGGCTCAGCGATTAGTCTCTTTTTGAAAGAAAGAGTACAAAGTGAAAATATGAAAGTTAAATATGAAAAGTTTTATGTTGGTGGACATAAATGATATGTTAATTGTATTTGTACATCATGCGGGTAATTTGCACTTGTGGAAATTACCCGCGTTCCACTTTCGTATTGTCCATAGCATTTATGTCCCAATTATTTTTCCTTTTTATTTTTAACTTTTGTTTTTTCAATTATGTTTTATCTATTTCACTTTTAGACTATTGCCTCCTCCATGTAGATTAGTACTCGTGTAGTCGTATACCAGAGAGACGCTCCATAATTCCGTCACTTTATTTGAGGATCAATTTTACAGAGTCGTTGGAAGGTCACAGGTTCTCCTTCCGTTATACTTCGACCTTCACTCTCATCTCCTCTCTCCGATCCTCCGGCTTCGGGCTCTGTGAATCATCGACAACCTTCACTCAGATCTCCTCTTTTTTCTCCAATCCCCCGGCTCCGGTTCTGTGAAGCATCGACGCCAACTCGTTGGTCACTTGATAACTTTGTCGGATCGGCACACTGCTCCGCTCCTAGCAGACGAACGAATTCCTCTGGTCCTCCTTAATTCGTCTGTCACGTCATCTCCATATCCCGCTTAATTTCTAACCTCGTAAGTTTCTGACCTAATTTTTTCAAAGTTAATCTCAATTTTATACGTCAATTTGTAAACTTGTAATTCTAATGCCTGGAGATGGTTGTTTTGTATTGTTTTTTATAACTTGAAAGTCTTGAATTGCTTGATTTGTATAGTTTTTGTTAGTACCCAATTTTGATAAGATTTTGATGATGCCACTATACTTTGCACGTGTACATTGTGTCTCATTTTATTGCATTCAAATTTAAGTGACAAATGTAAATGTACAATTTTTGAGACTAAAGAAAGATTACCGGAAAAGTAAACATGCAATAAGGTAATTTTTTATTTACCTTAATAGGATATTTAGATCCTACCGGTATACATTACTTTGACTCAAAAATTAATTGTGTGTCACATTTTTTACTGGGGACCAGAGCTTTGAAGACACACACAGAAGAAATACTTCAGCGATCAAAATTAATTGAAGACAATATTAGACCTCCCTTCAATGCTTAAACAAATACAGGGGTCTACAGCATGGGACACACATTTTGAAAAGATGCTCTCCGCGGCTAAATAATTCAAGACAAACTCTTCAGACGCATTAAAAGGATCCAGCACAAAAAGACGGAAGTACAAATTGTCCTTGCCGGAAATTCAACGGAAGAGATCAAACTATCCT